GGGCCCAGCTTCCCCTCAGAGGCGCCCCTTCCCTTTTAAAAAGCCATTTTCTTGAGGCGTTTTTCCCCCCTTAAATGGAGCCTCTTCAGCCTTGCCGTGCTGAAGTACCGTGTTCTTGCTTTTCCCTCAGGTTTAGTGTGAAAGGGGGCGAGGAGGGGGCGCAGCGGAGAGGAAAGGTAAGGCCTTGAGGCGCCGGGCATCCCTGAAGGTGTGAAACCCCCCACCCCGGCAGCACGTCCGGCCCGCTTTGCTTTCCAGAAACGCTCTCGGAAAGCCGGTCCTGAGTGCAGAATCGCCCACTTGAGGGCCAACCCGCTGCCTCTTCTGCTGGGGCTTAAATCGGGCAGACCGAAGCGAGCCGGGCGCCTGTCGGTCAGCTCAGGCTCCCGTGTGAGTTTGTTGGGATTGCAAACCTCTCCCAGCCTTTGCTGTGTCGCTCCCTCTCCTTTTTCATGCAGCCCAAAGCACCTGGAGAATCGCAGCATTAAATAAAAAACTCTGATGTGTTTTAACCTGTATCCGAGGAAGCTGAATCTTGTGTTTCTAACGTCGGCACGAATGGAGGCAGGGCTGCTTTTCCCCGCGCCGCCGGCCCCCCGCTATCTCTGTAGCCCGTCCCTTTCTAGGACGGTTTTGAGGAGCCGTGCGGGCCTGCTCCCATTGCGACTCCCACGTGGAGGAGACAGAGCTTGGGAATTGGCCAGGGACGACTCATTAACGTCCTTTCGGATTCTTCTAGCAGAAACGTAGCGGGTTTTAAACTATAACATAAGGTTTGTCTTATCCCAGCTTCTTAAAGCAACTTAGTTTAAAAAGAAGATCGGAATTAAGCCCTCGCTGGTGGTTGTTCTTCTCAGCACTCAAAGAAGCTAAAAATAATCGATGAGCAATGATTTTGTACTTGTTTCTGTATGTAATTTGAGGGGGCTGTTCCGGAGAAGCCCCTCTTCCACCATTGAGCTGGACGCATGCACTTTTTACTTTCCTTAAGCTTTAAACTTTCAAGTCTAGTGTGCAGGGATAGCTTTACTTGTCTGTTAGTTGCTGAGCGTGGAGGCAGTCAAAGGGCGTCCGCAGTGACTTCCCCATCTCCTTCGGTGGAGAAAATGTCTCCTGAATTTCCCGGGGTGGTTCTGCAGGCTGGGGTCTGACGTTGGCTGAGCGGCGGCGGCGTGTTTCATATACGGCAAGGTTTTTGTAAATATATACTCTGTGTCAGCCTTAGCGTTAATTTGGCATATGCTTTGTTTAGGCGTTTCGTTTTAGCTGGGATACATCTTTGTATTTCGGGCGTTTTTGCAGCTGGATGTGTCTTCTCTCTATTACTGGTTAGGTTTAGTCAATCTTGGCGACTCAGGGCATTGTTTAAAGATAATGATTCCTTGCTGAAATCTGCACCTCAAGGGCTTTCGGATAAATTAACTGATTTCTTAGGGGGAAAGAGAACACTGCAAACCTATGCAGGGACTCTATAAGCACAGCGCCATTAATAAAGGTGATGAGAGACCATGCTGTGACGGGAGAACGGGGCAGCTGAGCCAAGAACCCGCTGAGTTTGATGTTTACACTCTCTCCGGCTCCCTGTAGTCTAAATAGCTGGAAAGTTCCCGACGTCTCGAGGAGGAAGACTGGAGAGACGCTTCTTATCTTGTAAGTGCCCGTCGCTCCCTCTCCTTCATGGCACCCGCGTTCACGGCATGGCCAGGTACTGCAGGGTCCCCTTGGTGCTTTTTTCCCTGCGGCAGTGGTGCCACGCTCTGAGGTAATGCTATTTCATTTCGGTTACCTCGACCGTGCTGGCATGATCTGTCCCCCTGGAGAGCAGACCTTCTCCCCAGGCCTGAAATCTGGAGGTTTAAATTTCTTGGCTGAATCCTGAAAACTTATTCTGAGGAGAAAGAAGCACTTTTTTGGAGACAGAATTATTTCTGATGACGTTATTTCTAATTTTTTTTTTCCTTTTTTTTTTCTATCTGCATTAAATAGACATGAAGGTTGAAGTTTGTGATATTAGATTACCGTTTCTCGGTAACTATATTTATAAAAGGTGGTTTTTCCTAAGTTCGAAATGTCTTTTGAAATGTCCTTGGTGCTTTAGAGGCACTTTTGTCTTAAGAGGCACTTAAAAATTGATTTGATGGCTCCATTTCTGCTGTTTAAAGTAACGCAAATGTGTAGGACGAGCGAAATGGGAGCAGTGCTCAGGCAGGTGAATAAGCAAAACAGAGGAGGGCCTTGGGAGGACTTTATAAACAGGCTTGATATCGAGACCGAGCTGATAATTCGCAACCTAGAGCTAATATAAACTTAAATTAGATCCGTAAACAAAGCCGGTGGAGAAACTGGGGAGGGTTTTACCTTGGGCTGTTAGGTGCCTTGGAGGGAGTTGAGGGCAGATCTGGACAGCAGCGGGAGTTCAGCGCGATGCTTTACACAAGCTTCCTTTTTAAATATGCCAAGCTACATGCTTGAGTCCCTGGCTCATCTAAAGTGTCTTTGCACCGTTAATTAAAATTTGGCTGGCTTTGTGGAAGCAGCCTGTTCTTCCAAAAGAATCAGCTAATCCAAAATGAGAGATCTTACCCTACTGGAAGAAAAAAAAGGAGGTTTTTTTCCCCCCCTTGTTGTTTTCCATCCTGACTGGGCTTGGCTGTATTCACTCAGGGAGAGTTTGACGTTACTGCCTGACTGATCGTGTGTCCGGTGGGTCCTCCTGCCTTCCCGAGAGACACCCCTTTGGACCGAGTATTTTTCCAGCACTTTTAACTCCCCGAAAAGGTTCACCCCATGGCCTGATGCTTGCAGGTGTTTTGGGGGGGCGCGAGGCTGTGGAGGTTTGTTGTCAGAACAGCGTCGAACTGCTGTCGGGCTCGACGGCGGGTTGGAAGAACAGAGGGTACAACGTTCAAAAGGGTGTGGGATGGAGGAGGCTGGGGGGCCCTGCAAGCACGGAGGGTGTAAAAGCAGGAGGTGCAAGCGGTCGGTGGGAATGCGGTTCCTCACTTCCTAAATGGATTTGAAACTTTCATCCAAAATCTGGGCTCTACAGTAAAATAAAAATCTGATTATTTGAGGTGATGGGGAGTGCATGCTAAGTGGTGTTTTGGGAGGCAGGTTGTGTAGGCGAGCTCTCTGAGGTGTTATAATGTTATTATATTGTTGTTACAATGATAAATTATTATTGTGATGATAAATAAAATGTTTTCAGAAGTGGTCAGAAACGGAAGGCTGGCAAGCACACTGTATCTGAGTGTCTGCAGGAGTCAGTGTGCCGTGTTTTCATCATCCCGCATCAAAAGATGATGATTACGTAGATTATTTGGACCATTTCTTAAATGATCCCTACCAACATTTGCAGCACAGCTGAGGTTTCGTAGCTGTAAAAGTTTCACCTGCCAGTGCTGCTGCTTCGCTGCAGTGAAGCAATTGCAGGCATTTGTCTGTAGTAGAAATGCTAAGATGTCACCGAGGCTGTGAAACCTGTAAAAAAACTGTGATTTTGGGCCAGCAGCCCTCGGGCAGCATTTCCTTTTGGCAAAAGCCTGCCCGCCAGAATTTTTTCTGGACTCTTTATTATAATTAGCAAGAAAAAATGGGCAAGGGTAAACAGTTCTGTCTGCTTTCTTTCCCTTTTAATAGTCTTATTTTGGAGAGGCAGGTGGGAGAGGACCGTGTGCTGGCAGACCTTTGGTATTTTATGTCATGGGCTGTTGATAGAGTTCTCAGACATATAACTTTCTTTAAGGTCATATCCCACCGCATGCAGATGTATGGCGGGCTGGTTAATCCTTCTCTCATCACCAGAGAATGAAATGCTCTCGGTGGCTTTTTGTAGCCAACAAAAATCTTTTTGTCTTTCTCCCCTCCCGTTGTTTTTTCCAAGCGGCAGGTTTGCTGACGGGCATCGCCTTGGAAGCGGGGAGCGCCTGCTCCGAGGTACAGGCTCGCAGGCAAAGGTGAACGGCCAAAATGAAATGAAGGGTCTGGCAAACAGTGGTCTGCCAGTGGCCACTGCAAGCCGGTTTTGTACAAAACAGCCCTATGATTTTATTGAGCTTCGTTGTAAAGGAAGTTAAGGATGTGTATGAGAGCCGCGGGGCAAAGTTCAGGAACAAAAAAGTGCAATTCTCAGCCTGAAGGTGATCTCATAAAGATAACAAACCCCGGTATTTATCCGCCCGTGAAAAGCTGGCTTGGCAAAAACCTGTGGTCTGTTCCACGTCGTATTGCATATATGTAGTGACTTTGCTTGTGGTGATTTGTCTACTATAGAAACTGGATGGCTTCTACGGTGAGCCTGGGTAAAGAAACATTGTTGGAAGATGGAATGCCACCTGCAAAAAAGCCCAGGTAAATTAAATTGTACTCCAGTGAATTTCTTCTAATAATAAGAGCTTTTCCCTAACCCTGCATTGTTCTTTAAAGAGCATGACACTTGGCACCGAGCCCCAGCCGCCGTTTCGGTTGCTGATCCAAGAAAAGCGCGCTGTCTCTCGCCGTGCCCTGTAACTAGGATTTTCCTGCGGTGCGTGGAACAAAGACTTCAACACCCAGAACGCGCTCCGTTGCTGTGGTTTTTTAACCCCTAAGCCAGGATGCATGGTTGCAGAGAAAGCTGGTTTTCGCTGTGCTGTCTCTGTGGTTTTGATCAGTGTTAACCCCGGCTCAGGTCCTGTCCACATGTAGGGTCACACCCGATACCGTGGTCGTGCTTCTTCACTGGAGTTGGACACCAGTTTCCAGGAGGACAGGCAATTACTCGAATTAGTATGATTTTGCTGCATGCAAAGGCTAAATAATTCCACTTTGGAGGCTCCCTAGACTAATAAGTAGGTCATCTTATGGTTCTCCAAGCTGAGCATGATACTACCTTAGGACATATCCACGCTTCTTTCCATCCAGGGTTGGTACTGTGGCTGCTGCAGCAGCACGGACTCAGGATTTAAGGCATCGCCACCTGCGAACGAGCAGCTCATTCTAGGGAGTTGTCTTCCACTAATGTGATTTATTTACGAGTTATGGAGGGCTGGAGAATAGTTTCTGGGAGGGACCCCTGGTCTCAAGGTTGGTCCAGTGACTGTGGAATGAGCAGAAAAGCGGCTCGGCTGGGAGATTATGTTTTTCTTGCCCGGGATATCAGGGTAAAAACAATTGTATTTATCAGCGTGGGAACAGAATGCCTCTTTCAGAGCTGTTGCATAGGATGTTAAGACTTGTGTATTTGTTATTCTTTCGGATTTCAGTCCCTAGGTTTCTGGTTGTGTTTGTATACTACCTCATTAGCATGAATATTAGCTTATTCTTTGTGTGCGATGCTTGCAGGCCCAAAATTAAAACCCATTTATCTCCACTAACAGCGAAGACCTCTTAAAGAAAAGGGTTAACTTGTCTGTTTGTGTAGGCAGAGGGAAGGCAAAGCTTCATCTGTGTGGTGTCGGTTTCCTTTCCCCTTCTCGCTTAAATATCACGTGTTTGCAGATAAAAAAACATTCTTTCCAAATGAGCTGCCTCCCTGGGCTGCTGCTTCCATCCTCTGGGAAGCTGCAGCCGGTCCCCCGCTTCAGTAAAGCAGCCTGACCCTGGGCAAGGCGTGATGGCAAGCAGCACATCTACTTAATAAATAATAAATTTCAAATTTAAAAGCGCTATGCAGGTGTAAAGCTGGGAAAATAGGGAAGAGGGGAGGAGGAGGAAGGAGAATACATCCACACAGCTCTTGCCTGAGACTCTTTGTGTCTGGGCTTCCAAAAGATTGGCCTGGAGCATCCCGCTTACAGTGCAGGCGTAACGGGGAAGGGGTTGCTGGTCCCGCTGAGTGGTCTTTTTAGCAAAGAGGGGGTGGGGAGTGGGAAGGTCCTCCCCAGGGCAGAGCTGGGAGGAAACCTTCGCTTCCTTCCTCTTGTGCTGGGATAAATGGGGCTGCTGTCTTCAGGCCCCCTTTTGGCACCTTATTTAAAGCAGGAGCAGTCCTGGTTGTGTTTACTCCCCGCGTGGGGGTGCGATGTGTGCTTTGTCTTAGTACATATAGAGTATGTATGTGTCTCTACAGCCATCGATAACATAATGCTCACCACACCTTTTCCACAGTCTCCAGCCTTTCTGCAGGCTTCCAGGTAACTGTTATTAACAAGACCTCCCTTATTCCAAATTTTAATTGAATTAGCTTTGCTTAGGAAGTGTTCCTGGGTGGTATTGACTTCCCCAGTAACTCTCTTAGTAACGTTCTCGATTGCCAAATATGTTGTAATTACGTACCTGGTAGTTGTGGGCATTTGTGATGCCGATCCGTGGAGCTCCGCGCTGTCTTTAAGGGATGCCAAGCTGCTCCTCTCATCCTCTGTTTATCAGAGCACCCTAATTGACATGTTGATTCAAAATTTAGGCAGAGGGTACCTCCCTTGTCTTCGGTCTGCATGTTCCACGACCCAAGACATCCTTCCATCGATGATGGTACCAGCTGTGCTACTTTCTCCTCTTGCAGGAAGCTGTTGCCAAGCCTCAAAACCAAGAAGCCTCGGGAACTTGTTTTGGTGATCGGGACAGGAATCAGTGCAGCAGTTGCTCCCCAGGTCCCAGCGCTGAAGTCTTGGAAGGGTTTAATCCAGGCCCTCCTGGATGCTGCTATTGACTTTGATCTCCTGGAAGATGAAGAGAGCAAACGGTTTCAAAAGTGTCTCCACGAAGACAAGAACTTGGTTCACGTTGCCCACGACCTCATCCAGAAGCTGTCTCCGGTGAGTGTGCTTGTACTAAATATTCGGTACCCCACCCCGAGCGTAGGATTTGGTTTTTGGAAATAGCCAAATTTGGTTCTCCAGCGTGTCCCCATCTCCAGCGATCCTCTGTCTCCCAGGAACCCCAAGTGCCGTTACTGTGCCAGGTTCCTGAGACATAGTTCTGCCGTGGGCACCAGCTTTTGGGTGTTTCACTCGGAGTATGCTGGGGGGCAGATGATGAGGTGCACCCACCTCAATGCCGTAAGTGCTCTGTGTTTGCCTTGCAAGGACCTACGGTTTTTGCGGAGGTCTTCAAGAAATAGGCGGGTGGTTTTCATCAAGTCGTTTAGCATGAAGTGTTAAAAGAAGCCCGACTCTGATCTTAATCTGTCTCCCTTTCTCAGCGCACAAGCAATGTTCGCTCAACCTTTTTCAAAGACTGTTTATACGAGGTGTTTGATGACCTGGAATCTAAAATGGAAGATTCTGGGAAGCAGCTGCTCCAGTCTGTGCTTCACTTAATGGAAAACGGGGCACTTGTGTTAACCACAAACTTTGATAACCTGCTGGAACTGTACGCAGCACACCAGGGCAAGCATCTGGAGTCTCTTGACCTGACTGATGAAAAGAAGGTAAACGATGATGATTTTCTTTTTAATTGTCAGGGCTGAGCTGGTCCAGCAGGACAGTGGGATGTGCCCTCACATCTGCGTAAGGGGATTGTACTGTTCATCGTAATTTAAATGACGTTAGACAAACTCCAAGCAGAGGCTCTGACCATTTGGGGCAGTGAGCAGAGGAATGAAGACGAATGCTCGTTTCTGAAATGCTGTGCTTGCTGGCTGACATCCATTCCTTAAGCCTGGTATTTCTTTGATCTCTGTCCTTGAAACTTCTGGCTTGGCCTTGCCGAAGTACCGCAAGCCTTGTTTCCACATAAGGCTTGGGTTGACGTTTCTAACCGACACGGGAAACTCCGTGCGAGGCACAAAGCTAACTTTTCTATTTTTATAATGTGCTGCGGAGTGCTTTTTTGTGGCAGAGCATTTTCGGGGCTGTAGCTTTCGAGGCTTCCCCCTCGCCCCGTGTCCTCTTTCTGAAATGGCTGGATGGCTCCTGCTGGGTTACTCGTGTGCTCCGGCTTCTTCTTTCGTGCTCTCGGATTCGTAGCTGTGAGCTTCCCTCCTTCTGCTCCAGGCCGGCAGAAAATCAGACCATGAAACCCTGAGCTCCTCGCCACCTGTCCACCTCACCTCTCCACCCTGGGTTTTACTGGTGGAGAGCATCTTGTCCTTCTGTTTGCTTGTTAAACAGGTGCCACATGCAGGTCTCTTTCCATTCTGAGTCATTTCTGTGCTTCACGTTTCCTGCGTGACCTCTTAATCTGCATGGCTGCAAGATGTGCTTACAGTGTTACAAATAAGCATTCTAATTATTGCAAGCTTAAATGAGCTAAGGTCTGCAGGAGTAAACTGAGAGCCTCGGAAGTGGCTTTCTGAAATGAAGGTCAGCTGTTGAGCTTCCTCACATCTTCTCAGAGATTAGAGGTGCCAAGAAATAAAACTCTGTAGGCTTGAGAAACATGCTGATGTAATATTTAGAGTTTTCCCCTTTTTTTCTGCTGAGTCTGGTGTATTGATTCGGTCTCTCCCCATCGCATTTGCTGTTCAGCTGAAGTTGCTGACCCAAACAAGCACCGCAGGCGGTAGCCGTGGGCCGCGATGTAGAGGCTGATGGACTCATGACCTCTTGAGGAGACAAGATGGAGCATGAGGAAGAAGCTGCCTCTTTGAAACCCTTCCCCACCGTGCTGTTGTTAACAGCGCCGTGGACGCTAACGTGATGCGCCCGCTAACATTTCTGGAGGGGTTTGTTTTGCGCAGGTGCTGGAGTGGGCGCAAGAGAAGAGGAAGCTTAGCGTCCTTCATATCCACGGCGTTTACACCAACCCCAGCGGCATAGTGCTCCACCCGGCCGGCTACCAGAACGTGCTGCGCAACACGGAGGTCATGGTGAGGCAGCCCCTGCCTTCTCTCTGCCGGGCATGCTTTGGGGTCCCGTACGTTGTGTATATACGTCTCCCGCGTCCCTGGCAAGCCCGTGTCTTAACCGGGCGTAGGCTCAGCTGAGTTTAAAGACTGGGCTTCACACAGGGTGGTGGGAGAGCCCTTAATTTTGTGAAACAGAAGCGGAGGGATGGATTCTCGAGCCCGCTAAGCTGCAAAAACACCTCAGCACGCTTGCGTTGAGGGCGATTGAATGATGGCACTCCTGCAGAGCCTCATCAGTGATAAGGCAGGTGCTGTCTCTTGTGCCTTGTGAAGATAAAGCTTGCCTTGACTAAGAACGTCTTTCCCTTTTTTAAAGCGAGAGATTCAGAAGCTGTATGAAAATAAGTCATTCCTGTTCTTGGGCTGTGGTTGGACTGTTGATGACACCACGTTTCAGGCCCTGTTTCTAGAGGCTGTGAAGCACAAGTCAGACCTGGAGCACTTCATGCTTGTCCGGAGGGGAGACGTGGATGAATTTAAGAAGCTCCGTGAGAACATGCTGGACAAAGGGATTAAAGTGATTTCCTACGGAGATGAATACGCAGACTTGCCCGAGTACTTTGAGAGGCTGACGAGCGAGATTGCCATGCGGGGTCGAACAGGTACGGGGGTTACGGGCAGTGCAGGGTGGCCGTCTGGGTCCAGCCACCATCTCCGCACTGAACTCGGGCATCCTGTCACACGCAACGCGGTTCTTGACTGTCACCGTGGACTTCGCAGTGTGGGCAGTGTTAATAGCCCCCATTCTCTATGCTGTATTATTCCTTAAGCTTTTTTTTGTTTGCCCCCCAAAAATTGTCTGCAAGTGTAGCTGAATTTGGGGTTTGCTTTTACAAAATCACAGTGTGTTTTTATAGTTTAAACAGCTCTGCTGCTTCCCACACATCCAAACGTTATTTTTCACGTGCAGCGAAAGGGCATTTCAGTCTCGCTGACCTTCGTGCCGCTCAGCCTGAGCTAATGCTCTAACATACAAGAGATCTCGCTAATAAATCATAAAAATGGGGAAAAGAAGCGAGTTTGCGTGCCAGAGCCTTGCTGGCCTGCGTTCTGAGGGTAAAACCCAGCCAGGAAAGCCTCCGCGCCGCAGGCACTGCGTGCTGTTCGCACCGGGGCTCCCCGTGCCTGCGCAGCCGCCTCGGGGCTGCTTTTCCACCCGGTGGTTGCTCTCTCCTAGGTGTGCCTAAGGAGGGACAACAGCTGAACGGCTCTGCTGCTGCCCACCCCGAGATAAAAGGTAAGATTCTCCCGAGCGGCTTCTTCGCCTTTTCTAACCCCTTTGCGACTCCCCCCCCGGAGCGGAGGATGGAAGTCCGCTGCTCTCGAGCTGCTGCCCGCACGCACCCAGCCGAGCCGGGACACTTCAGGCAGGAGCCAGAGCCCCCTCGGACAGACGCCTGGTTTAACGTAGTAATTATCTTTTTATCACGGTTGCACGTGCCTGGGGAAGCACCGTCTCCCCGAGGGAGCTGCAGCCAACTCTAATTTCATACTTAGTGCTTTTGTATTCTGTACTTTCAATTAAAAACATGAAACTTGAGCGTTTTTTTTTTTTTTTTTACTTGAAGCTCTAGTTTTCTAGTCCTGTCTTTATACTGTACAGTATTTTGTATGTTGAAGCTTGTATTAAAGGCCTGTTCACTTAACTTTTGGCTGGTGTGTGATTTACACGCCCCAGGAAATAGGTCCTGGCTGAAGGCAAGTTATTTATACACAGAGAACAAATTATGAAGTTTATTTTTATATAAATTATGTCTCTTAGCAGACAGCATTCAATTTATTGCACTATAGCACATCTGCGATACAGAGCTACAAGACATCATAAGAGAGTTTTGTATTATTCAGTGTAGCACTTCAGACCGGGATCAAGAGGCACTCGAAGGGTGGCGGGGGAAGAAAGGGTGCAGGAAAGCAGCAAGCAGCCACCAGTAGCTTCCAGTATGATTTTTTTTTGTTGTTTTTCCTTTTTACTAGCAAATAACACTGAGGGCAGCAGGCAGGAGCCAGGCAGGAGCACGCTGCCTTCCTTCCTTCTCCGGCCATGATTAGCACTATCGGACCAAACTGCCGCAGCTCTCCAGCTCCTGCCTAAACACGCGGTGTCCGAGTACCCTGCTGCGGAGTCCCGGTGAGGACAGAAAGGGGGACGTTAAGGCAATTTACCATCTCCCCTCCAGCCCAGCGCAGGCCGTCGCCTTTTTTGGTTTGTCAGCTTCGGTGGAGCTGCCACTAGCAGCGACATCAACAGCCAGATCTTCTAACGCTGCAGCTAAGCAGCGCCTATCCTGCTCACCCTTGATCAAAGTCACTTCTATGTCCTCCCTAAGCTGGTCTAAAAATCAAAAGCAGCTCAAAAAAAAGCCAAACAAAACAACAACAACGCCTTCAAATCCCCCAAAAAAGCACAGCAGGTCCTTGCGCTGCTCACCCCCCCTCCCTGTGCAGCACGAACAATACAAAGCTCTGGATTCAGCCTCCCCGCGCGGGAGCCTGCGTCACTTAAAACAGAATGAAGGAAACCAGGGGAAGGGCTTTTGCTGGATAAAAGGGGTTTTAGCCAAAAAAAAAAAAAAAAATTAAAAAAAGTTACCCTTCGCGCCAGTATCCCTTCATTCTGTTCTGCACTACACGGGACAGACTAGTCGGTAACGGGGTAAAGCATGTTCTTCTCGGACAGCTGCGAACAGCGATTTGGTGTTTTTTAGGCCTTCATGAGCGCTGCGACCACGGCCTTGGCGTTAAGGCTTCGCAGATCACAGTAAGTTTGTCCGGTACCAACGAAAACGATGGGCTTGCTCGTGATGTAGGTCATGGAGATGGCGGCGCCGACCTGCCGAGGATAACGAGGACCGTTAGCCTGCAAATCCAGTGCTAACCCCTCGCGGGAACGCGCCCGAGAGCTTGTCAAATATTCAGCCTCCTCGTACTTCTCGGATGCGTATGGTCCCCATACGCCCCGCTGCGTTAACGCGTATAAACCAGGAGACCTCACGGCCCCGTTTTTCCACATGTGCAGAAATCAGACTGCTAAAATTTGTTTAAATGGCTTAAATGCAAGAGGAAGACAGGGGATGGTGTCTGGGACAGCACGGAAGTGCCCCGTGTTTGACAATTCCTGTCTTTTCCCCCTCCGGTCACCAGTGGGAAGCTTTGCAGGGATCTGTCTCGACAGCTTCCTTACCTTGTCATCGATGGTGTCAAACTTGGTGAGGACAATCCCGTCGATGAGCCGCGGCGTCTGGGCCATGGAGTGATCAGCCAGGGCCTTGTTGAACTTGACCTGAGGGAGAGAATGGATCGAAGAACCGCATTTGTGGTGCTGCTGCTGTCCAAATCTCCGATAAAACCTATAGAAGTGGGTTTTTTGTTCCCCTCCTCGATCTTTGAGCAAACAAAGCCTCACCAGCTGATCCACAGCCTCATTTCCCACCAGCGCTTCCCCAACAAACAGGACCAGGTCGGGAGCGTTGACGGCGATGAGTTTGGCCAGCGCCGTCATCAAGGGAGCGTTGTCCTGCATGCGGCCCGCCGTGTCCACCAGCACCACATCAAAGCCCTGGTTGCGAGCTGGGGAGGCAGCGTTAAGCAGGATGCTCCCCAAAAATGATGTCTCCCACCACCGGTTTTCCACCTACCATAAGAGATGGCCTCCATGGCAATCCCCGCGGCGTCCTTGCCGTAGCCTTTCTCGTAGAGCTGCACCATGGTCCGCCCACCGTGGCTCTCCGGAGGGTGCAGGGCGTTGAGGCGACGGGTGTGGGTGCGGAGCTGCTCCACTGCTCCCGCGCGAAAGGTGTCACAGGCAGCGATGAGGACACTGAAACCGTTCTCGATGAGCCAGAACGAGATCTGTAGGTGGCAACGGATCAAAAAAAGCCCGTTAGCAGTCACAGATTGACCTCAGCTCTGGTCCCAGAGAGCCAGCAGGACTGTGTCCTACCTTGGCCAGGTTGGTGGACTTCCCAACACCGTTGACGCCACAGAAAGTGACCACGTAGGGTCGGCGATGGCGCTGGGCATCCATGACATCACGGAGGACATCCACACGGCGCTGGGGCTGCAGGATCTGCACAAGAGCTTCCTGCAGGGCCTGCTTCACCGTCGAGGTCACCGCTGGGAAGGAGGAGATGGAAAGAGTCACGCCTGGGGAACGCTCCTGAGCCCCGAACCACAAGGCAGAAGGCCACGCGGCCACTTACTGGTGAACGTTCCCATCACCTTCCCTTCCAGTTTCTTAGCCACCGATTCACAGAGCTGCACCGCGATCTCGGCTGCCACGTTTTTTGCTTCGAGAAAGAGACAGAGAGAGGGGCGTTAGTGCTGCCGAGGAGGTTACACACGCCGGACATCAGCGTCAAGGGAAGGATGGAGTCAGCGTGAAGGATCCCCACCAGACTAGACCGCTTCCCCCCTTTTGATGCGCTGTTGAGGGCTCCCCAGACCCAAGAAAGGAACCCACCATGGTTCCTGTGGGCAAGAACAGCCCAAACTGTGGGTGCCCACCCGACGGAGCACAGGGAACCACCTCCAACTAACCCGCTCACAGCGGATCCAGACATACCGATCAAGTGATCCTTCATCTTCTCCAGTACGGGGTCCATGTCCTCTCTCGTCAAGCTCTTGGAGCCCACCAGGCCTTTCAGCATGCCAAACATGCCCCCTAGGCCACCCTTCTTCGCGCTGCGGAGAAGGGGAGGTGTTATCTTTAGGTTTGAGGAGCAAGTCACATAGGGCGCGCAACTGCCAGATGCAAGAAGAGCCCACCACACCAATTTGTTCCCACTGCGTTACTGGTTAGACTGGGAGAGAAATCAAGAAGCGTGTGGCAAGCAGGGGCTGCAGGAGCCTCTACCTGGGTTTCGAAGGGTTCTGAATAACCTTCTCCTCTTCAGCTTCATCATCGCTTTCATACTCAAGGTCGTAGAGGCGGCCGGGCTCACGATTTCGATCCCCCAGGGCCTGTGAGGGGGGAAAAGATGCGCCGTGAAAAATCGGCAACTGCTTACCATCATCTCCCCCGGCCTGCTTTCGCTGCGACAAGTTATCGTTGGCAGCCGAGGCAGCTCTGCAGAGATCTTTGCTCAGCCGTCTCGCGCCGCTAGCAGCTGCCACAGCTGGAGACGGTATCCTTTAGGCAGCAGCTGTACAGGCCGGGCGCTGCGATCCCCGTTTCTAGCACTTTCTCAGCCAGCCGTGGAGACCAGGCTGGGTTTGCAACGCCCAGCTGATCCCAGAACAACGCACTAAAGCAGACAGGGCGACCTGATTTTTTTTCCTTACTATATCAGGGTCAAATTCCTCCGCGGGACAAGCCTCCGCGCTGCCGTTGGTAGCGGAGTTACTGTAATCGAGTACTTTGGCATTAGAGTTCCCCAGATCCCACACTCGGGGCTTCTTTCCCTTCTCCTTCTGTGCCTCGGGCTTTGGAGATCTGCCGAAATAAAGACCAGAAACACGCTTTGTTCGGTGCAGTGAAGCAGCAGCAATCACCTCCTTAGAAGGTGTGAAAATTAAAAGCCTGCATTACCCAAAAAAGGCATAAATCAAGGCTAAACTTGGCTGATTCAGTCTCCAGAGTTTATCTGAACTTTAGCCCTGTACCAGACGGCTTTACCTCGAGCCAGGCACTGATGCGCCGCTGCCCTTTGCTCACAGCAGGAAAGCCTCACCAAAAAGAGGTCTGGACCTCTCCCAGGCACACGCCAGGTTTCTGGGTCTCCCAGGGAAGGGATCAGGCTCTATTTCCCTTCCAGGATTCCCAGCACACCCTCTCCCAGTCTCTCCAGCCAGCAGGGAAATAAGGAAAAGGGAGATAAGGTCCAGGAAAGCAAGGACCAACTTCCAGGGGTCACTGAAGGTAGCAGAGATTCGGCGATGCCCAAGGGACATCAGGAAGAGCTGCTCTGAAGCGCAGCGAGACTGATCGTGTCCTCGTTACCCACCTGGACTTCTCCCCTGCTTTCATGTGTCTCTTGAAGAATTCCTCCCGGTTCTTTTGCAGGATTTCATCCTTGGTCAGTTCCTCCTTCTCCCCGGCTGCGGAGGGCTGCTTGTCACCCGCAGATGCTTTACTGGGCGCTGCGACAGCTTCAGTGCCTGACGGAAAGTGTCCCACCATGAGCTCAGACCCGTGTTTGGGTGCTACGAGAAGACTGGGAAACCTCTGGAATAATTATTTCGCCCCCATATCCCTCTCCCATCAACTCACCCTCTTTTTTGGAACCTTTGTTCTTCTTGTTCTTGACTTTCTCCTTTGGTTTCTCCCCTCGGGTTTCTATCATACACTTGACAGTCTTCTGGGACTTGAGAGACTGCTCAAACGTTTTCATTACCGTGGGAGCTCGGACTTTACTGCTCTCCTCTGCATCCCTGCGGGGAGGTGGCCCGTTAGCCTGAATTTCAGCTCTCCCCCCCCTCACAGCCCCCCGTCTATCTCCGCTCTAAATGGAAACTCAAGAGGAATGGGAAAAAAAAACCCAAAAACAGGCTCTGCTACCGGAGGAGGCGCATGAAGTCGTCTTTAAAATCAAAGGTGCCATTTAGGAGGCCCAGGGTGCCTTTCTGCTGGAACTCATTGCGATACTTGTCTCTGAACTCCTTATGGACGTCGTCTATCAACTTGTCGACGTAGGTTAGAGTCAGGATCTTCTGAAACCCCACCTGCAAAGCAGCACAGGGCAAAAATGTTGCTCTTTCAGCTGATTTAACTGCAGCATCTAGCTGGCAAGGAAGCGAAAACCTCTGCGTTTGATAGGGAGCTCTTCAGTTTCAGCAGGCTTCAGGCGATGTTTTCTAGTCTGACCTCCCCGAGCTTTTAATACGCTCTCAAAAAACAGGAAAACAAAACGGCATGGCCCAGAGCTTCGCTTTAAAAGGCGACACCAATAAAAATAGGTTGACTGTTTCATGGCAACAAAGACACGGAGCGCAAGACCAGCAAGCCTTTGCCTTATCTTTAGGTACACAACGAAGGTTGTGTGGATTTAGAGATAAGGGGAGACTGAAAGGGAGAGTGTTAAAATATTTTCAAAAGTAAAGAGGACGACACATTTCTGGCTTCTTTTAAATAGATCTGACCAAAATAAAAAGTTTTATTAGGATGTAGCAGCGTGTACGGCTTCTATTTGAGGTT